CCGACAAATTGAATACCGCGCGTTAGCGCTGTATGATAAATTTTTCGGCACGGCCAGGTGTGTTATAGGACCGAAGAAAGCCAAAAATATGAATTCAATGCTTATATTTACATTTTCTAATTTTCCTTCTTCATAATTGCTTATTTCGTTAATTTTAAATGTGCATTTAGCGCCCTTTAAAAAACTGCCGTAAATAATCGACGTAAGAGCCGTTTGTGACGTTAAATGACGTTGTAAAGTTAAATAAAGCAAACAAACATTGCAAGGGGAGAAAATGACAAATTAATTTTAAACGCAATTTGAAGTTTTTTACGTCAATTTAACAGGATTATAGTATCTAATTAAAATGTGTCAAAACATGTGCAATTTGGTGTTCCTAGATTATAGAAAATGTATATAGTTCCTACTGTGTATTCTGAAGCGCAGTGACAAGGTTTCGCGTGTGTTATAGAAATTTGAATGTCGTGGATTTCTAATGAATTTCATAAGGAAATAGACACGGAATGTAAATATTTTGCTATAAATATGATATTTTCTATATGTACAAGTAAACAAAAAACAGGGCAAGAGCCTTGTTTACATTATGAAGAACTTTAAGTTCTGTATCTTGTATTTAAATTAATCAACAAATAATGCTCAAATTTTTACTAATCAATAGATGATGCCTTAGGTAGGAATTGTAAACATTAAAATTGGTTTTAAAAAATCAGTTGAAACTGTGTCCAGGCCCCTTTAAGGTAAAGTTATCATTATTGAAATGTACGAGGGGCGTTCAATAAATAATGTCACTGGGGCTCGGAAAGAAACAAAAATCGCTTTTCTATGACTTAGTTTTAATGATTTCACTAAAATATTCTCTTTCAATTAAATCGCATATCCGTAACATTTTCATTCAATCTCGAATTGTTTTTCGAACACATTCTTGAGTATGACCCTTCGTATAGTGGAAGTATACTGGAATAAGGCAGATCCTATGATTTGCTGTACTTTTTTTTTTCTTTCTGATAGATGTTTTTTCTACGTTTAGGAAATGAAACTAGTCAAAGGTTGAAAGATCTGGCAAATTTTGTTGGTGCGACAAAACATTTACTTTCTTTTTATCCCCAAAACTCCATTACTCTTCATGGCCTGTGGGTTTGGCCGCCGTCATAAAGACATTTAATGTAGTGTATTCCTCATTCTGTTTCCTTCCTCTCATAAACCTTTAAATTTTTTGGCAAATAAAATTGTTTTCTAGACACCTCCAGAAATTGAACTTCCTCCCCGAATATGAATTTGAAGAACAAGATCGCTAATATTTAAGAAAAGAGCACATAAAAGTGTTTTATGCTCCTGCAATGCTTTGCTCTTCTTAGGCCTTTACAGCTTTGTCAAGTGCATCTTATTGAATTTTTTTTAACTGATAAAAGCAAAACTGATTCAAGTTTCATTATCTGTTAGAATTTTACACAAACGTGGATAAGTACAATTTTTGATTTTTTAAAAGAATTGTTTGGATATTCCTTGTTGAGTCAGATAGAAAGAAAAACACCTCTAATCACGTTGACTTGTTTATCTAGACAGATCATTTGAAAACACTGAATAACATTGCATAACATTGACGTTACCATGACGTCATAATTAAGATGACGTCATAAAAAACATTTACTTAATGTCACATGCACTTTAACGTCACATATAGGAAGATTATCATCAACATACTCCGGGCCGCAAAATGTCATTAATCACAATTTACAATGATAGAAAGTTCGTACTTCTGCGTTGTGTTTTACGAAAAAAAAATTTAATTGGAAAGTCTTGCACTCCTCCTCACTTTGGAATCTGACTTGTTTAGCTCAAGGGGATATAATTTCGTAATTGGACGGTTTGATATGGTCCCATTACTAAAACGTAGGACTGCTGATCTTGTGAGTCCATCTCCGCCAGTTATGAGATCCACCACTACAGCAAGTTTCTTATTGATGTGATTAGTGAAATCATCATGGACTTGGACGACGTCTCCAGTTTTGATTTTGTTGCACATGTATGTAGATCCTGTCCTTCGAATTTGGTGATAATTGAGTCAGATAGAAAGAAAAACACCTCTAATCACGTTGACTTGTTTATCTAGACTGATTATTTGAAAACACTGGATAACAATGCATAACATTGACGTTACCATGACGTCATAATTAAGATGACGTCATAATAGAAACATTTACTTAATGTCAAATGCACTTTAAAATCACATATAGGAAGTTTATCATCAACATTCCTACACGCTGTCGTTTTCACTCATTTTTCAAAATATAGGGTGACCTGTGAGTATTAAACATTTTTACTATAAAATGTTTATTAAAAACAGTATGAACTATTTACAAAATGATCCTTATCATTTTTGCTATGTGTCTTAAAGTCAAAACATAATCGGTGATAATTTGTTAAAATTTCGCAAATTTACATCGGTTGTTGTAAGCCATTGTTGCCAAGGACGGTACCCATTTTTGATGCCCATTATATAACTTTTGTTTATTGAAATCTACATGTTCACCTGTCTGTAAAACAGGCATTGGTTGCTGTAACTTTCACATATTTCAGTTAATATATTTTTGGAATATTAACAAGTTTTACAGCTGCTTTAATGAAGCGTTTAATTTTACTCTAGTTTACTGATTCTTGACCATTCATTTTTAATGCAGTGTCTCGAATAGTCCTTGTTTTCAGCTTCCCACGATGAAAAGTGGTCACGCAAACTGATATCAATTCATTAAAGATTCAATAATGAGAGAAATGAGAGAAAGTCAAGCTTTATGTCATATGACTACTATGTTGTATGCCATCGAGCTAATGACATTACTTATTGAACGTCCCTCGTATGAGATTATGAAAAACATAATTTTTTCCTGAAAATTTTCTTGATAAAATTGTTGTTCTAGTTAAAAAAAAATGTGATATTCGTGGGTTGAGTACGAACGCAAGCAATAAAAATCCAGAGTATCATTTTCCTTTGAAACTTTCTAACCACTACGCTACACTTTCTATAATGAATGGCATTTAAATCATGTTTGTGATATGACCATTGGCTATACAGACTTTAGTAAAACATTTTTTAAAAAATGTAAATGTTTAATTTTAAGGTATCATGTGTCTCTGTTCCAATTTTTTAAAAACATTTTTATTCAAATTTTTATAATTAACTTTCAAAAAAATGTGGCGAAGACCCACTCATATTTTACACTTTATTTAAAAAATACTAACACATAAAAATCAGTTTGAAATAAATAATACTTTATTCACATAATATCTAAATTTGCAGACTCTGATTATCATGCAAATGGTTGAATATTTTAAGTCAACGATTATTTGTAGAAATATTTGTGTCTTTATGACATATTTTCATTTTACATAAAAACAGTGTATATTATTAGCAACTACAGGTATACTTCGGTATCTCTATATCGGATATGTCGACAATCTGGGATTATTATCGTCATCCGTCCGCGGCCCCGGCTTTATTATACACCCCGCTTGAAAAGCGGGAGGGTATATAGTAATCGTTAATTCCGTCCGTCTGTACGTCTGTCTCCGTCCGTCCGTCTGTTACGCTTTAGGGTACCCATCTCTTATCCGCAACTCCTCTTAAATCGCTGAGTGAAATTTAATGAAACTTTCACAGAATATTTATTACATATTGCCATTGTGCAACTCCTATTTTACTTTTTGATCTGACACATATTTTGGGTGTCCCGACCACGGCAAAACATGGACTTTGTCATCAGTTATAACGATATGGGAGGAGGGGGTATCATTTAGTGAGCTCATTGCTCACAGTACCTCTAGTTTACTATATAAATGATTTGCAAAAACTGTCGACCTCGGTAATGTCGACTACTTCGCTTATCTCGACGTATATTCACAGTCCCAAGAGCCAAATTTACCTGGTATATGTCGACATCAGGGCAATTTTCTGCTCCTGCGTTTATTGGATGTCATTGGCATCGGAAGCAAATTAAAAGGGTGGGGGGTAAATTGTAAAAAAAAAAAATTATACCTTCCAAAAAACCTGACAAGTAAAAAAAAAGGGAGATGTCCATTTCCAAAACACGAAAAATCCTATTTCGTGTTTTGGGGGGTTGGGGTAGGTTCAAACTTCAGTACCATATTTTTTTTTCAAACACCACCACTTTCCCCATTTTTAACATAAACTGCAACGTGTCTGTGCAAAGTGGGGGCGGGGGGGGGGGGCTAAACATACGAAGCAATGTTTAATGTCTATACTAAGTATATATTTGGAGAAAAAGTGGGTAGCTAAGCCCCATCCCCCGAGGCCTATGGATGTAGGCGAACGCCTGTCCACTTTTCTAAAGAGAATACGTAATATCCATGCATGTGCTACGTCACAGATAGCAAGACTATGTTGGGCCAACATTGGCAAAAGGTTGTATGGTTGGCGTTGGGGGAACAACGTTGGGCCAACGTTGGACCAATGTCACCATGCCAACCTCCTCGACCATGACAGAATTCCTATGTTGGCCCAACGTTGGTCCAACGTTAGCAAATTCCATTCACTTTACTTCCCAAGGAAGGAGGGATGTTGATGTTGGCCCAACGTTGGCCCATTGTTTGTAATGCACTCTTAGAGAAAAAGTCTTTTAAAGTTGGTAGTAGTATGTTGGCCCAACGTTGGCCCGATGTTTGTAATACACCCTTAAAGAAAGTGTCTTTTAAAGTTGGTAGTAGTATGTTGGCCCAACGTTGGCCCGATGTTTGTAATACACACTTAAAGAAAGTGTCTTTTAAAGTTGGTAGTAGCATGTTGGCCCAACGTTGGCCCGATATTTGTAATACACCCTTAAAGAAAGTGTCTTTTAAAGTTGGTAGTAATATGTTGGACCAACGTTGGCCCGATATTTGTAATACACCCTTAAAGAAAGTGTCTTTTAAAGTTGGTAGTAGTATGTTGGACCAACGTTGGCCCGATATTTGTAATACACCCTTAAAGAAAGTGTCTTTAATTTTAAAGTTGGTAGTAGTATGTTGGCCCAACGTTGGCCCGATGTTTGTTATACACCCATAAAGAATGCGTCTTATCAAGTTGATAGTAGTATGTTGGCCTAACGTTGGCCAAATGTTTGTAATACATCCTTAATAAAGTGTCTTATCAAATTGGTAGTAGTATGTTGGCCCAACGTTGGCCCAATGTTTGTTATACACCCTTAAAGAAAGTGTCTTATCAAATGGGTAGTAGTATATTGGCCCATTGTTTGTAATACACCCTCAAAAAATGTCTTATCAATATCAATTTGGTAGTACATTGTAGTATGTTGGCCCGATGTTAGCACGAGTGTTCTTTTGGTTAGGTGTTTCAAAGATGGGATATTTATATTGGGCCAACGCTGGCCCAATTATTATACTGCCAACTAAAGATGGTGTCAATTTTAGCTGCTGAGCTGACATTCTATGTCCCTGCTTTTAATTGGATGACTGTTTTTGTTTAGATCTGATATATTCAACATTTTAAATTTAAACTTAAGTGATCACAGCACCAAAGAGTGTTTTATTATATTTTTTGAATTGTGCACATGCATGATTATTTATTTGAAATAAAACCCTTGAAATTATGAATTTTTTCATGAGCGTTGTATTCATGAGAATTTAGAGAAGACTGAATACGTTCTCAGGAACAGGATGTGAATGAAGCCTACATATACATAAATCAAAATGACACAGCTTTATAATTAAATTGAAACAAAAGTTAGGCGTTCGCTATCACGTGACCAAACTGTGGAGTGAGCTGTCAGGTTCAATTGCTCAGAGGTGGTGATAATGCAGGGCAAGCAAGAAGAAGTGAAATTTAAATTTTTGGATTATACACTTGCTATACAGCTGCATTTAGAAGCGATGTAAGTATATTTATTCTTATTTATTCAGGTTAACTGTTAAAATTGATTCGGAATTCATTCTTGTCATGTTTTTGCACACAAGCACTGTAAGTTAAGGTTAAATAACATCTTTTAAGTTGTTTCTATCTATCTAATTCTTAACTGTCTATTACAGACACGATTGTAACAAAGAAATTCAGTCAGAGACTGCAAGGAAAACAAATGTTGTGGCGGTACATATATATTACAATGAAATCAAGACCATGCAGAAAGAAGTGTATAAAGTATGAGTCCGTATGACAAAGATCAACATGAAGAAAACGGGAGGCGAGAAGGGACGGAAAAAGAGCGGGAATACAACAAAAGGACAATAATAAAGGAAGTGAGCCCTGATTAAGAACTTTTAATTGATAATTTTTCATAATTTACCTCTATTGTCTATTTTAAAATTTATTTTGTAAATTATGATTGAATTGATGTATATAAAATATTATCACAGTGAATCATTAGTAATGTTTTCATTGAACATGTCCATGTATGCATTATGAATGCAGATTGAATTGTGTATAAATTATTTTAAACAGTCATAAAATAGGTTTATGTAAAGAATCACTTAACCAATTGCGAATGGTTCTATGTAATAACTACGTTGGCCCAACAATTTGCCATCTGACATTGTAAAAAAGGGTCAACATTGGGCCAACCTAACCAACCAGTTGTTAAGGTTGGCTGTTAGTTGGCATACACTAAAAACTACATTGGCCCAACAATATGCCATCTGACATTTCAACATAGGGCCAACGTTGGGCCAACCTAACCAAACAGTTGTTAAGGTTGGCTGTTAGTTGGCATACACTAATAACTACGTTGGCCCAACAATATGCCATCTGACATTTCAACAAAGGGCCAACGTTGGGCCAACCTAACCAACCAGTTATTAAGGTTGGCTGTTAGTTGTCATACAGTTTTACCTACGTTGGCCCAACAATATGCCAACATGTTGGACCAACGTTGGGCCGATGAGCAAAATTACCGTGGGCCAACGTAAGGTTTCCAACAGTGGGCCAACGTTGGAAAAAAATTGGGCCAATGTTGGCCCAACTATGTCTTGCTATCTGGGCGTATCATCATTGAGTTTGTTTTCATATGCAAATCCTTTTAAATTTTGATTTGAAAATAAAATGAAAAATAATGATGAATGATCATTTTGAAAAATACGCATAATTTTTTTTTCGTATCACGGGAGTCGAATTTATATCCTGGCGTTACCGATTTTCGATAGTGTAAAAGTTGGGTCGAAAAATTAATCTAAGCACCTGTGTTTTTCTCATCTCAATTATGTATGCATTATTAGTCAACAATACATAAATATGTTCTGACATTTATTGTTTTTGAAATCAAGAATTTTAGTAATTTTTCAACTTTCTTTGGATCCGCCATAATCCGACTTGTTTTGAATGACGTCACCTATTTTCGATAGCAAGTATGGCGCACAGTTATCGTCATAAAAACATCGAATTATGTTATTTTGTGCGAGTTTTTGTTTTCTTTTATTTGTTTTTTGTCATTTTTAATGGTATTGGATTTTTTTGGTCCTGTTTTCAACTATAATCTTAACAACAAATAAAATGTAATTAATTTCAACATTTGTTTTAAAATTTTTTGGTTGAAATTTTATAAAAATGAAATTTCAAGCCAGGAGCCATTGTCTGCTTGGAAAGCATTATCCACAGCCTTTGGCCTATACTAATTCTTGTAATTTCCCCTTTTGATGGAAAATATCTACAAAGAAACGAACAGTAAATCAACAGAAACCAAACTTTAAAAATTAAAAGATGACGAAATTTAAAATAAAATACCCGTAACAGGCTTCCATACTTTATTTTTTAAGCGGAAGTTTGTCCAAAGTGAGGCTTTTCTATTCTTAGGCCATAACACAGAGCTTTTTAACAGACGATAGCATTAAAACATCAAGTGTTGTTTTCAGGCTTAGGAGATAGGGTTTTAGAGTGAATTTTTTGGCATTATGAGAAAATGGCGTGATTTGAATAGATAAAAAGAAAAATAAAATCTTACCTCTCTAAATGGCATAATTTTCGATCTTTTTGGCTTTATTATACACTTTTAACATCTGATGATAATTTTAGGATAAGAGTTCCAAAAAAACTAGAGGTACTGTGAGCGATGAGCTCACTAAATGATACCCCCCGCCTCCCATATGGTTATAACTGGTGAAAAAGTCCATGTTTTCCTGTGGCCGGGAAATCTAAAATATGAGTCGGATCAAAAAGTAAAATAGGAGGTGCACAATGGCAATATGTCATAAAGATTCTGTGAAAGTTGCATCAAATTTCATTCAGTGGTATGAGAGGAGTTGCGGATAAGAGATGGATACCCCAAAGCGTTACAGACGGACGGACGGACAGACGGAAGGAGCGTTCGGACAGACGGACGGACGGACAGACGTACAGACGGACGGAATTAACGATTACTATATACCCTTCCGCTTTTCAAGCGGGGGGTATAATTAGGAAAGGTTTTCTGATTTATTGTGAAAAACATTAGCCTATCGAAATTAGGATACTATCGAAAATGGGTAACGTCACAATATTCGGAGTTTATAGAACACGTTTCATATCCTGTTCTGACAAAGCAAGTTGGAATGCTAGCTGGAAAACTTTATTTAGTAAAATTAGAAGATTGAAGCATCCTCAGTTAGTGAAGATTCATGTTTGTTCAAATCATGACCAGGGCGGGGCCACAATGGCTGATATAAAAGTTTTGCATAGGAATACCTAGGTAAAATCTTTTAAAGTCTTTTTCTCAAGATCAGCAAGTTTGTTCATATCATGACCCCTGGGGTTAAGGTGGGGCCATGATGGGCAATCAAATCTTTACATGAAAATATGTATGGCGAAATTATATACATGTATGTATGCTTTATCGATATACTAGTAGTGACATTCTCAAGTAATAAAAGATACAACCCCCTCCCCCAACAAGCAAACTTTTTAGTATTTAGCTGATTTGCGTTTCCTAATTAGCCCATGTGCTCAGGTGAGCGATGTGGCCCTTGGGCCTCTTGTATAAAATATCATACAGTAGTGTCAGTATCTGTCTTCTGGCAAACCTTTTTACAATGAATTCCTACAGTATCTCTTAGAATTCTTAGAATTGTCAATATGAATATTGAATAACAAAAACACTAACAACAGTATAAACTAGAGGTACTGTGAGCAATGAGCTCACTAAATGATTTCCCCCGCCTCCCATATAGAGAAAATGGCAGTGTCCATGTTTTGCTCTGGAAAATCCAAAATATGTGTCGGATCAAAACGTAAAATACGAGGTGCACAATGGCAATATGTAATAAAGATTCTGTGAAAGTTTCATCAAATTTCATTCAGTGGTATGAGAGGAGTTGCGGATAAGAGATGGGTACCCCAAATCGTAACAGACGGACGGACAGACGAACACACATTTGGTTATATATTGGGTACATCAAGTCCAAGTCCTATTGGATACTGCTTATTGGATACAAAAAAAGTGTACACACGAGAGAGCATTATTTGGGTAGTTACTGTTCAAATCTTATTGGATATTAATCCTCGTGTCCGTATTTTATTGGGTTTTTTCTTATTGTTTTTTATTCATTTCAAATTTATTATATATTTAATATTTGCTGGTAAATTAAGACAAGACTGAAAACCTTTGGTTTTGAACCCATATATTTGTCAATTTCTGTGATATAGCTCTTTTATTGTAACACCTAACTAATTTGTTCTTAGCAATAAGGATATACACCTGTATATTTCAAAATAACTAATATTAAAATATATGAATACCTTAGTGCAAAAAACTGAATTGTGAAAACACAACTCAACACATCTCAGACTCTGTTCAACCTTTCTTGAATAACAAAATTAAGTATTTAAGGAGAAACCTTTTTGAGTCATGACCAATTAATAATAAGCAAATGCCCATTACATGTTGGACAGATTGAAGGTATCCAACAGGCATTGGACAGGTGTCCAATACCTGTTGGGTTGTATTTTGACGAAGGGATTAAACTACCCAAGAATAATTGAACATGTGTACATTGTACAATTCTATTTGGGTTTCTTGAATCTCCTCATCAAAATACAACCCAACAGGTAATGGACACCTGTCAAACTCCTCTTGGATATCTAAATCCCACCCAACAGGTAATGGACACTTGTCCAATTCTTCTTGGGTTTCTTGAATTGTTTCATCAGAATACCACCCAACAGGTAATGGTCATCTGTCCAACTCCTCTTGGGTATCTACATCCCACCCAACAGGCAATGGACACTTATATAATTATTGGGTTTCTTGAATCTCCTCATAAAATACAACCCAACAGGTGATGGACATCCGTCCAACTCCTCTTGGATATCTACATCCCACCCAACAGGCAATGGACACTTGTCTAATTATTGGGTTTCTTGAATTGCATCATCAAAATACAACCCAACAGGTAATGGACACCTGTCCAACTCCTCTTGGATATCTACATCTCACCCAACAGGTAATAGACACTTGTCCAGTTCTTCTTGGGTTTCTTGAATTGTTTCATCAGAATACCACCCAACAGGTAATGGCCATCTGTCCAACTCCTCTTGGGTATCTACATCCCACCCAACAGGCAATGGACACTTATATAATTATTGGGTTTCTTGAATCTCCTCATAAAATACAACTCAACAGGTAATAGACACCTGTCCAACTCCTCTTGGATATCTAAATCCCACCCAACAGGTAATGGACACTTGTCCAATTCTTCTTGGGTTTCTTGAATTGTTTCATCAGAATACCACCCAACAGGTAATGGCCATCTGTCCAACTCCTCTTGGGTATCTACATCCCACCCAACAGGCAATGGACACTTATATAATTCTTGGGTTTCTTGAATCTCCTCATAAAATACAACCCAGCAGGTAATGGACACCTGTCCAACTCCTCTTGGATATCTACATCCCACCCAACAGGTAATGGACACTTGTCCAATTCTTCTTGGGTTTCTTGAATTGTTTCATCAGAATACCACCCAACAGGTAATGGACATCTGTCCAACTCCTCTTAGATATCTACATCCCACCCAACAGGCAATGGACACTTGTCTAATTATTGGGTTTCTTGAATTGCATCATTAAAATACAACCCAACAGGTAATGGACACCTGTCTAACTCCTCTTGGACATCTACATCCCACCCAACAGGTAATGGACACTTGTCCAATTGTTCTTGGGTTTCTTGAATTGTTTCATCAGAATACCACCCAACAGGTGATGGACATCCGTCCAACTCTTCTTGGATATCTACATTCCACCCAACAGGCAATGGACACTTGTCTAATTCTTGGGTTTTTTGAGAATCCCCTCCTCAGAATACTACCCAACATGTAATGGACACCTGTCCCATTTCTCTTGGATATCTTCATCCCTTCAATAGTATATAAACTAAAAGGTATTGGACATTCTTCTTGGGTTACTCAAATTTTTTTTTCATAAGAAAGAAAACCCAATAGGTGTTGGACATTGGTTCAACTCTTCTTGGATATTACATCCCAACATTAGAGTAAAACCTAACAGGTGATGTTTACCTGTCCAATTCTTCTTGGGTTACCTTATGCCCTTCATTAAAATTGTCAAATTTGTCTTGAATATTTATACTCTTGCATTAGATTGCAAACCCAATAAGTATGACATTTACCTTCCCTAGTTGAATTCAAATTTATCTGCATAAGCATACATAAGTCCAAAACATATTTAATACTTTAATTCTAACATTCCACATCTCATTCAGTGTACACTTTACAAATGATAGGAAATATATAAGCATTTTGTGCCTAAACTATTTGGCTTTTAAAGAATTTTATAACCATGTTTGCAAAATTTAAATTTAAATATTGGAACTTGGAGCAAGTCATTACAGGTAGAGCAAGATGCTGAAAACCATATTGATAAATAGATCACACCCTTGATAAAATATTTGCCTTCAGTTGCTAAGATTGTGTTGAATTATATGGAAAATTTCTATAATCCTGTTTATTACAGATACATGTACAATGCATATTTTCGATGCGATAATAAAAATACTTCTGAGATGAAAAAAATGGATTAAATAGTCACCGATGTTAAAAGGTATTTCATGATCTCATTAATCTGGTTTGGAAATCACAAACTTAGTTTTGAAGCCGATAAAACAGTGTCGCACCAGAAAACTCAGTTACAAGTACAATGAATGAATTCGTTTTATCAAAACTTTAAAATAATTGATGCACTGTCTCCAAATCTTTTCGACAAATTGGGATAAAGATATTAAATCAAATCATCACTGTTATAAGTCTTAGAGCTAGAGAAAAGTCATTACATGCCCAAATTTTACATGTAAGACTTTGATCCTATATTTCAATAAATGTCAAAATGGTTTTATTTTTGTTTCTGTTCAATACTTTCTTCTTCAGGGTCTCACATGGCCTATACTGTATGATACATCCACTGACCCTGCTCTTTTATATTGCCATATGTTTATCCAGTAGCAGTGGTTATGCTCAGGCAATCTTTGAAATATTCCTCATTTCATGCATCTCCTTCAGTTCTGCCTCTGTCCATTTTATTCATTCTGCAATTAGATAAAGGCATTTCTTTGCCGTATAAAACATGTTTTTCTTGACTAGAGCAAGATCACCCTTTATGTTGATCAAACCCAACCAAGAAGTAGAAGTATATTTCTTATTCAGAAATATGTATTGATAAATAAAATGGAAGAAAAACTTAATTCTATCAACTCTTTTTTCTTCTTCTATGTCTAACTGCATCTTCATCCTACCCCCCATCCGCCATAATTTTATCAAAATGGAATCATCATTCAACACACAAAACGATGTTGCATATTAATTAGACAGTATGTTAGTTTCTGATTGTTAAGAAGGAGATTTTAAAAAGATTTTACACCTATTCCTTGCAAATTTTAGACTTCTAATGTAACACTATCAGTACATTAGGGGTACATAATCTTCAAAAACATCTCTACACTTAATGATAAAACTTTCACATAAGTATTGTTTTTAGCCCAATGGTTCTGCTAAAGAGGATTTAAAATTTACCCTAACCTTACTAACTGCTTTGATATTATATTGACAGGGACAGAGACACACTTGACACTCAATCCCCCCTTCCTGGGGTATGCTTTGCACAAAATTTAATTAAAATTGACTATGCTGGATAGAAGTTGAAAATATGAAAAATTACAGTCAAACAGATTATGAATAACTTTCAGCACATCAGACATGAAGTAGTGATCCTTAAACAAAATACACCTACAAGATGAAGCTATTTTATTCCTTTGAAGTGATGTCTAGTATTGTTTCTTTTCCTGTATGCCACCTCTATCAGAACAAAATGTTATACATGTATTAACATAACCTATGACCGTATAGTACCCCAGTATTTAATTTACAATTAATCAAGTTCTGGAACCAACCCTCAGATGCCCTAAAAACAAATGATTCTAAACTGGCAAAGGTAAAGGGCATCTGAAGAATGTAAAATAAAATAATAGTACAAACAAGCAAACAGCTAGTGTGCATGAAAATGTTGGCAAACACTAGAAAAAATACTAAGGTACTTCCTCAAACTTAACATGAATACTAAAGAGGTTTTATGTAGCTGCATTGCACATACCAAAAGCTTTCCTGCAGTTAAAGGTTGGTTGCCTAGTAGTCATGTAGTATGTACAAGTTTTTCATTTTATCTCTTCTAATTTAAGAAGCGAAAATGTCTCTAAAAATCTTGTGGTTGGCATGAAGTATTCCTGTTCATTTTACTGATTACTTACAATTGTCCTATTTCTGAGGGTCATCTTCTGATGGGTGTGTTCTCTGCAATGTTCACAACTGAAGTTCCTGTTTGACCTGTTACATATTGAAAATCCTCAATGAACATAATTAATATGGTTTTAATTTCCATTGCAATTATTGATTACTTTTATTAAAAAAAATCTAAACCAATTTATTGTAACATAATACTTAGGAAAATATTTATGTAATATCAATGGAAAAAAGGAATCATTATCTCCAGTTAGCTTTTTGTGCTATTAAATCATAGTCATCGCTGTGCAATAAAGGAAATCAAGTACTAATCCACAATTTGGTGGCAATAAAGTTACTATCCCCGAGTAAAAAGTGACAAGCCCAAATATAGAGGCAAAAATTAAAAAGTAACATTGAAAAAAAAAACATCATGAAAAAAGTCAGGGTATTAACTACAGATGATTCTTTTTAAAATTAAAGTTTAATTTAATTTCGCTAGTAAAATTTAATCATACATAAATTAATGACTTAAAAAATGAAAAAAAGATTTTACATATTCCTTTTCTGGTCATTCACTAGTTCGTCTAATTAAAACGAAGCAAAAATCATTTTGTTTTCATCTTGAATCATTTAAAGCCATATATGGCGTATATACAATGAAAATTATTAGACTAAAATTATAAGAACTTATTATTTGTATCATTACATTATATAAACATGATAAAGATAGAAATTTTCGTAAATTACAAAATCTAAGTCAATTGCGTTATAAAAATATAAATTTAATTTGGATTCTCGGAATTTTCTCCGAATTGGAAGAAAATACAAAAGGTTTAAATAACACATTACAGAGAAGATAAAATCGTATTATTAGATAAAACGAGGTGTTCTCCGTGCTCCGAATTGTATGAAATGCTTTAATTTAAATGTATTAACTATATTTCTTTACTTAATTTTGTATTTTTTAAAAATATATTTTTGATCAGTTAAAAAAACGCTACATAATTGCATGACACTTATCATTGAGCTGATTGAGTGAATGTATATAATTTAATAATGAGATATCTGTGAGGCATATATGTACAAGCAAATATTGCTATATTTAACAAAGGAAAGGGGGAATTCAAATTAGGAAATAAAAGATCGTTTTTAAGTAAATCAGTCTTGTACCTACTACCTAGTCCTTGTCTTGTAGTACTGCAAAATGGATGCAGTTGTGGAGATTTATGGATAATATGAGCATGCTGTCTGGAATATTTCCATATTAGGGAATTTATTAGCAAAAAAGAGTGAAAATACCGGTGGTGCTTTTCATGTATTACATGTGTATTTTAAAATTCCTAATAGCCTAAGGGGATTCCTCAGTGCAGAAAACCACTAGCCCCATCCTCAAAAATGGAAGCCCCGGGTGTAGCGCGATGCTAATTACACACCCATCATGTGAAATAGTTATAGTAGCCCTATATCAATTTCAGTATTATTTTAAATTAATTAAAACAAATGAAAAAAACAATAATTTAAAAAAAAATCAAAATAAAGCTGACACTCAGTCAAAATCAAAGACAAAAAGAAGCACTGTTTTGACTGAAAGTTTATCAGTAATACAATGAATCTCTTAAGTTACATATCAGATGAGATAAACTTACATACAATTATTTAGTTGTTGTCAATTATGCCATTTATCATCATCTCAGCTCACTTTGCAATTGTAATACTGTCTACATGAACCGATAATTTACAGCTGATTTATGAACACACGATTGTTAAAATTTTCATTTCCCTTTCCAATATACATTGTCAGAACATACTTAGTTGGTTATGATATAAAATTAAATAATAAACACTTTCGATTTATTAAAGTTTATCTAACAATATACGATCGTTTATTAATATGTCTCGCCCTCAAGAGAGTTAAAAAGACAGAGAAAATTCAAAATACAAACAAGTGCATCTTAGGATTAATTGTTCCGATATATCTATTTTAATTTTGTGCACAATTGTTTTCAAAATTACATTAAAATCTATTTTCCTTAAACAAGAACCCAGCAATGGATAAATATTAATCGAATAAACTTACCTTTTCTCTTGTCAATCAGAAAATCTTGTTGACATCAAGTGTTTCTTAGTCGCCATATTTTTTTCCATGAAAACAAACGTTGTTATGATCAGGATCAACAGAAGTTGATTTTCGGAACTCTCGAGAATTTAGAGTTCCGAATGTAAAACTAAAACAACAAAACACGGTGCGTCCGTGAAAGCAACTTTTTTGGACACTTTTTTGGACAAATCGTCGTGTCCAAGTTTTGTTGGGTACTAACCTGCAAATACCCAATTAGGGTGTTTTAAGCATATTCAGCGACACTTCCGAGTGGGTATACCCAAAAGCAAAAAGTACCCAATAAGTACAATCTTGGCATGAAAAATACCCAATAAATGCACTCTCGTAAACACGGACGGACGGACGGACGGACGGACGGACAAACCCAAATTAATATCCCCCACTTTTCAAGCGGGGGACAAAAAAAAATGCAGATGGAGGCGAATCATTTTTTCTGAGAATAATCTTTTGCTGTAGTTTTAATTAATATTTTGATTTGGAAGCTCTCTCCACAGTTTTTATTGCCGGAAAATACGCAGATTCAAGCATTAAATGAAAGTATATAATGCAGTCCGAAGAGAAAAGTTACAACAAACAAGAAATAACCCCATCTTCGCTAGCCAAGGGTCATTAGCGTTTGAGATCTTTCTACCCCCAAAGAAGGACTTTAGAGTGTGGTGCAAAGATTTGTTGTTGTTGTTGTTGTTTGTTCGTTTTTTTTTTGTTTTTTTTTTTGCTTGTCAACTGTCATTCAAGGATAGCCCCCCTTTATTATAAATATATGTAGTTACGGACTTCAATTGTCGTGTTGTGATTCATTGCATGAGTGCTGGACCAACCTTTTCAAAATTGCTGGATCCGCCCCTGAATTTCTTTTACGGTTTCAACTATACTGAAAGGAAAAAGAAACGCATAGTAAACTTTTGAATAAAATTAAAACTATTCTTTCGAATATGTTTTCCAGATTTATTATCAAACATTTTAATTCATATTTAATCAACAATTTAACAAAATCTTGTGAGACTTTGACTGAAACTTCATGAGTTATTGATATCGACACCCCCCCCCCCAACCCCCCCCCCCCCCCCCAAATATCATCTTCTCCCTTGCGCAAAAAGTACCAACTATGATTATCCTGATCCTCAAATATTTGAATAAACATTTCTGTATTATATAATTCATATCTTTACAGGCGCAGATCCTGTTTTTCGGGGGTGGGGGTGGGGGGTTCGATCCACCCCAACAAAAACGATCCAGTCCATATTCTTTTTTTCACGTGCGCAGATCCTTTGATCCGCGCACAGATCGCTAAACAAGTATAGCGATTTATGTGAGCGTATCAAAGGATCTGATTTTAATTCCTAAATTAACTTATTCTAAAATAAATTTAATAGACTTCACTTAGTCGTACAAAGAAAAGCAAAAATGATAAAAGTACAACTTGCCAAGTGAATTTTCAAGTATCAACAAATTGTGTAATGCATGAACCCAATAAAATAATTCTATATGAACTTTTTTAAGAGTGTAAGGGGTTTTTTTTCTTTCAAAAATTTTCTCTTGGGAAAAAACAATATCTGCTACTGGTTTCTTGTAATATATTTACAGTCGTTTGTATTGCTGCCTCTGATATGTTTGAATTTTAAAAGTCCGACATGATGCTATTATCCGATCGCGAGGTCTGCAAAATGGATGTTGATAGACAATTTCGCGGGATTTGGACCCGGACTACAATTAGCTTACATGTACATATATAGACTTATATAGTAAAACGTGTGTTTTGTTTTCTTTGTAACTTTTTTAAAAAGATTCATTTCCAAAACATTTTTAACACATGACGGAGCAATGTGTCAGATAAATATTCACATAAAATGGGGTGTTCAATGTGGAAATCCCTGGTTATTAATAAACTTCTGACGTCATGAAAACCGAATAGCTCTCGCTTCCTTAAAATATCAAAACAAACCCAATGACCTCTCATTTCAATGCATATTTCTATGCATAATTTATGCTTGAAATGCACCTTGATGCATATCATTGTAAACTTTTGACATTAAACTTTTATTCCATACCCAGTGTGTCACAAACATGTGAGCCATGTTTTTATTTTTTATCATTGAAAAGGAGACACATGCGGATTTCCTTTATGTGCTTTTCTTTTTCAGCCTTTTGACCTTATGCTGGAAAATTGTGACCCTGATCCTATGAAAGTACACAAAAATAATGATGACGTAGAAAAACTTGCGCGCCATCTAGCGTTAATTCAGGTAATATATGTTTTTTTGCACGCCATCTAGCGACAATTCAGTGAATAATCGTTGGTTTTGCATTGGTGATCGTTGGTTTCGCATCGGAGTCTGTTGATTTTGCAAATGAGTTTAAAATTTTGTTTTTAAGGTTGTCTGTTTTGTATTTCATCAGCTGTTCATGTCAACATGAATGAATTCACTAAGTTTTAACTGAACTAAATCCAGTCCACTTTAATTGGGGGAAAATGGAAATGTAGTTTGTATGTTTTAGTTTTTTTGAGCCAGAGTGATATTAATTGTACCCCCCCCTTTCTTTCTTGAGATGTTGCAACTTTTTGTTTTTAAAGCCAAACCTAGATCTAATTTACTAAACACCTCAACAACCACCTCCTTCTTCTTGTCGAATGGAGCAACCTATTTCTGGTGTTGTTTTCTTTTCATTTTTAAAGCAAAAAGTGAGATCGTATTTTACCCCCCCCCCCACCTTTTACTTGAGAGAGAACATACAGTGTATAGTCTATAGTTATCAATTCATCATATATTTCACTTGTCCTATAATATATAAGCATTACTTAATACAATAATAGCCTATCTCAATTTTACTCAAAATGCACTTATTATCTACTGCTAAAGAGCAAGTAATTGAATATCAAACATATATTGTTTACATGTTGTTTATATTAAAGAAACTTGGACTGAAGCATCTTTTAATTTAAAAAGCTACCACATTACTTATATGACAGTATAATTCATTAAGTGACAATTATATTTTCCACATTTTTTCTTAATTATTATCATTTTACAGCATTCTTTTTAAAAAAAAAAAAATCACATTTGATGTCTCTAAGGGCCTGTACATGTTATGGGCATTGGAATAAAAATGCTCAGAAAGAAAATATGGATAAAAATGTACGTCTTGAAAAAATTTTATTAATGATTTTTTTTTAAATTATATAATTATTATCCTTAAACATGTTAAAAGATATAGAATTAAACTAGAATATAAAAATCATGCAAACTTGTGTTTATTAGATTTTTTTAATCAGGTCATTATATCCTAAAGCAGGACATTATACCCCTGTCGTTTTTATTATGTCCAATAAAAAGTTTATATATTTCATTGTGCATTTTGCTACGATTCTCAATGAAGATAACAATATTTTGAATTATTATTTCCGATAAAAATGATGTTGTGTATGCACCAAAATTGACAAAAAACTATTTATTATAATCAGTCAGGACATTGTACTATAAGGGCATTATACACTTCCGGTGTAAACAGCTTACTCAGTAGGCTTGCTAACGCAAAGGGACGTAACTCGAGTTTCTCTATTTTTATGTGTCTCTGACGTCATGCACATTTTTGACATCGAGGGTGGTTGTCTTTTACGGCTTATTTCTAAATTAATATGAACGAAGTGTTCCGAATAACTATGGAACTATTTTAAGAAATGTTCCCGCCACATGCCTTTAGCTAGAAAGACCGTAAAGCACATGTTACAAGGAAAAAACCAGAGGGAGAAAGTGAACGGTAAGTGTGTTTAAACTCTCATAATGTGAAGGCACCCATCTAACTATAATATTTTAAACATTTAATGCTTCTTGTTGCTATTTATAATAAAAAACAGATAGTAAACGCAAGACAATATCTGTATTTTAACGAAAAATTAAGTGGACTGTTTATGGCCTCGTTTTCGTTCAGCAATGGCGGCTCCCATTGCAAGCATCATTTTCGCAATTATTTCAGCCTTAATTAACTTCCAAAATATTTCTTATCTGTGTAAATTGAAGTATATCTGAACTTGTTTTTCATGCTATTAAAACTGTAATAGTATAGAGTGGCTTAAATGAATATTACATGGTTTTACAAAAATGACAACAGAGAAAATTCGAAATCATGTTATACTGCATTATGCAGTCATATGTTAAATTCATGAGCCGTCAGACGATGAGTAAATTAAATGATGCGTGATTAATGGTAGGTGTTTTAAGTTGTTATATAATAATTAATAACTGCATTTACACTTGATCACTTAAAGAAAGAGCAATTGACCATTTTAATTTCACTAAAGCAGAACTCATATACATGTATTCATATAATATATATATAATGTATGTATGTATCACTATGTATATATAATTATAATGATTAAATTTTTTAACTCATTAAAGTCATTAAATCAGTTATTTTAAAGGTTTATATAGCTTATGATGTCTTGTGCTTTATTTCAGACATACTAGTAGGTACTTGGAAAAGATTTTTCATGGAACCCAAATGGTACTACAGACAACATTAATACTGTTCCCTGTTAATTTTGGAAGGTAACAATTTTTTTAAGTCTTGCTGAGTCTTTCCTGTGTATTAATTAACTTATAATAGCATCTAAATAAAAAAAAATATTTTTATTTTCAGACACTGAGCAAAACAACCAAGTAAATGTCAGAAAAGCCTGTCGACCAGACCAGCGGATCATAATAATTAATTTGTTAATTAAGAAATAAAAGTTTTTTGTTGAAAAATTCTCATTGCATCTTGTTATTTTATCATTTGACTTGAGTTTTG